GCCCCACTCTGCGCCTGTGCAGGACCCCTCCTTGCCCAGGAGCCAGTCCTGCGCTCTGCGCCCTGCGCCTGCCTGGGGCTGTGCGCCCGCCTGGGGCTCTGCCCCTGGGTGTGAATGAAACACGTTGCAGCCGTATCAGTACACAAAGGATGCTGCGGCCATCAGGTCATCAGCCGCTACCGCCACCCCTAGACAGTGAGCAAAAGGAACGCAGGATGCAGACAAGCAGGCAGCCCGGCCTCTGCAGCCCCGCCCAGCCGTTCCCCCCAGGGAACTCAGGATGGAGAAGCACAGGATACAGGTCCCAGAGAGCTAAGGTGCATCTCAAAAGAATGATTTCAGTGAGTCCAAACCTTTCCACCTTCCCACACGTAGAAGCACTAAATTCCTTAACTTGAGATATCTGGTTTTCTTTAACAATAATGTTCTGACTACCTGATCTTTGTTGCAAAAACTGATATATCCTGGCTTCTACCTTGCCACTTTGGAGCAGCCTCTTGGAGCAATCTATGAGGCTGTATCCCCGGCTCAAGTCCTAAGAAAATCCACCAAATGAAACATAATTCTCAACTTTTAAATTGCACATTTTATTTCAGTCAAGATGAGTTTAAGCTTCTAACTGCGAGTTATGCCCCCCAAAACATGAACGCAAAATACTTGTAGTTTCTAATTTTTAGCCTAAAGTTTTCTCTACCAAGTGAAAGCTAATGGTCTTTCTTGTATGCACTTAGGAACAGTCATCACTTCACTGTGTCCTAGTGGCCTCGATACCACTGTCCATCTTAGCCTCATTTAGGTTCTAAAGGTCCTCGACCAACCAAGGTCCTCACTTTCTTGCTGGATTTTTTTGTTTTGTTTGGAGGCGAGGGGGAGTTCTCCCTTCCCAGGGCTCTGCAGGAAGTGTCGGGGTCAAAGGGAGTGTGGGGTCTCGGGGGACCAGGAAAGAGCTTTGGGGAAGGAGACCCTGGGGAATTGAGACAGGAATGAAGGGGGCAGGGCATGGCCATTCAAGAAATGACAGCATATAACACCAAAATGGTCAAAGATTCAACCCCCAGTCGGCCTCGAGGCTCGAGGCTCGAGATGGCAGGAGATCTGACTTCTAGTGAACTTGAGCTTCATTATATGCTCATTGTAATACATTAGCATGGTGAATAACATGCCC